AAAAGTATTGTCCCTGCGATCGAGTCGTCTTCTTCTCAACAGAAACATTAGAAGTATTCGTGAGATCTTTTTTTTATAAAAATTTTTACAAATGATGCGCTATTAGGAATCAAGCACAGGAATCAAAAGTTCCAGCTAAAATATATTTTATCTGAGGATAACTGGCAGAACATACTCCTCCCGTGTTTATTTTTACCTCATACGAGCATGAGTGTTCGTTTATCGTAAATGATGAGGTCCGCCATTGTCTCACGAGGCCGGCGCAACCGTAACTTGCTCTGTAGCTATTTCCCTGTCTCTCCCTCCCGTTGCCCGTGGCGTTGCGGTGATCGGAAAAATCCAAACTATCACAGGGTGGCGTGCGCGCGCAGTGTCTGACATATTTAGACGGTCCGTTCACACATGCCAACCACAATCTATTCTCCGATTGATTACTTGCTAGGCCCTAATTGACTGTTATTAAAGTTCGCAGAAGTAACAGATGCTATGAAAGTGTTAGGATCCGCGCCTAGTACTTGTAATCAACACAAACTGTGGGCTCGTCCGCTTGTTGCCTCTAAAGCCAACAGAGGAGGCGAAGAGAATACAACCAGCCATGAGCAAAGTGTACTCGCAAAATTCGAGACATGTACACTAAAAGACTACCTGTATTTATTGTATCCGCTCGTTGAGAAAGAGCAGAACAACTTACCAATCAGCTCGGACAAGAGAGCTACTGGCACGGTCCAGGCACACACTGTCATAGCCGGCAACTTGGCGGCTCATGTACGTGCCTTTCTGTGAAATAGGCTTCAATATCATCGCTAACCCCCGACCAAAGAAGAAGGCCTGTATGCCGGGGGAGTGTGCCCTTACCTCGGGCGAGGTCATTGAGGTACATTTTCTAGTGGTACCACCAACACACACTAGAAAAAGGTTAACGCAGTACAAAAGTGGAAGGTTTGTGGTTATCACGCTACTTAAAAATTTTAAGTAAGCGATTATTCCCGCGGTTAATTTAAAAGGCTAATTTTGCTTAGTATACTGAATTAAGCGTTTATGGTATGTGGTGACCTTCGGAGGACCACTCTGCAGTTCAATGCCATCATCAAATCCCTGCTGGATCGAAGAATGGCGCGTAGAAAACAGGAAGATTATGGGTACTTCACCCTACTGAAAACATTTAAGAAGGTGGCTATAATACATAAGGACCTTTCGAAGACTCCACTTGGAAACCCTACCGTATTCCCCACAGAAATCCACGTGAGGTAACGGCCAGCGCCACCCTGCCTTCGCCCAAGGCGTGGACCTTTTTATATCAGCAGCTGCCAAGCCGTCAAACCGTGTGTTAGTTTTTCATACTGGTTTCCAGTTGTCTGGACTCCTTATGACGGAGGATGAGTTCGGTTGTCTTGAGGAAGCGCGTCTTACTGCTGACTCCACTTTTCTCTCTAAATTGAGGCATATCAGATCTCAGTAAGAGGCCCTCGGACCTCACGCAGGGGGAGTGTCACAGGTACTATAATGAAAAGAGGTCATCGCAGTATGAATATTGGGCAAAAGTAAGGCCGGTTTATCTGTCCGCGTGCCACTTTCTGATCCAGGACTACTGGTGCATTGTGGCAGCCTCGAAGAGCTTTCGGGTTTTATAATAATAGTCGTATTTGATGAAAATCAACAGGTAATATTCAAATAAGTATATGGTACGGATCAAGCTAACAGAAAAGAACCATACCCTGCCACCCCACTCTAGCCGAATCGGCGTGACACTCTCTTCCCAATCTGATGCATTAGCGGCCTACACGAATCTTTGGGACGACCTGTGATGATATTGGGTGGGGAGGCCGACGTGGCGTGAGTTTCCGTTAATTGAGTACCACACTAATGTATCTGCCCATAAAAATTCTTTCGTTTCTACTTACACTGCAAAATTCCATACTTTAATTGATGAGCAAGTGAGAAGAAGACGACTTAAGAAGACCAATG